CCAAATCTAATGGGACGCCTAGGTGGCTCAGGGGTTGAGCGTCCAACTTTGGCTCAGGGAGTGATCCTGGGGTCCTGGGATTGAGTCCCACATGGGGCTCCCTGTGAGGAGGCTGCCTTTCCCTCTGCCTATGTCTCTATTCCTCTGTGTGTCTCTCATGAATAAAAATCGAAAGAAAGGAAAGAAAAAGAAAGAAAGAAAGAAAAAAGAACCCAAATCTAAGAGTCTAATAATCAGTAAATCAAGGTAGGAAAAGAAATTCCAGGAACAATCCTTTTCCCTGCTTCTCTCTTACTGCACTCCACTGTCTGTTCCATGGAAGCCTGAAAAATCCTTGACAGTAGAATTGTTGTTGCAGGCCTTCTGGTCTTACAGAAAGAGAAACAAATCTCAAGAATCTTATCTACTGGGGCATCTGGGTGGCTCAGTGATTGAGCATCTGCCTTCAGCTCAGGTCATAATCCCGGGGTCCTGGGATCAAGTCCCATATCAGGCTCCCCACAGGGAGCCTGCTTCTCCTTCTGCCTATGTCTCTGCCTGTCGTCTCTCATGAATAAATAAAATCTTAAAAAAAAAAAAAAGAATCTTATCTATCTAAATTTATCTATCAATTTCCACAGGTATTGTGTAATGTAAATAAAGTCTAAGAGCCCTTCTGGACAAAACAATTATTACTTTGATTCTGGATCTTATGGCTCTGCTGAGGTCACCTTTGAGAGACTAGTGACTAACAAGCATTCACCAAGTGGTGATGGTCTCAAACTTTGTGAATGTACTAAAAACTACTGTATATTTCTTTTTTTAAAAGATTGTGTTTATTTATTCATGACAGAGAGAGAGGAAGGCGGAGGGAGAAGCAAGCTCCATGCAGGGAGCCCAATGTGGGACTTGATCCTGGGACCCTGGGATCACGCCCAAAGCTGGAGAGTAGACACCCAACCGCTGAGCCACCCAGGCATCCCACTACTGTATATTTCTAAACGGTAAATTTTTAATGGTGCATTATAGCTTACTCATTTTGGAAAAAAAAAAACAAAAAACAAAAAACACCTCTCCCCTACAAAAAGGCATTTAGCGGAACTCAAACACTACAAAATAGAACATTTCTTGGGATCCCTGGGTGGCTCAGTGGTTTAGAGCCTGCCTTTGGCCCAGGGCGTGATCCTGGAGACCCAGATGGAGTCCCACATCGGGCTCCCTGCATGGAGCCTGCTTCTCCTTCTGCCTGCGTCTCTGCCTCTCTCTCTGTCTTTCATGAATAAATAAATAAAATCTTTAAAAAAAAGAAAAAAGAAAAAAGAAAAGAAAGAACATTTCTCTCTAAAATTCAAGTTTCACAATACAATGTGCAACATTTTGAAGACAATTCCTCCTCTCAGGGCCTACTGAGGACTGCTAGTTTTATTCTGTACTGCTTTTATTATTATTTTTTTAAGGATTTTATTTATTCATGAGAGACACAGAGAGAGAGTGAGAGGCAGAGATACAGGCAGGGGGAGAAGCAGGCTCCATGCAGGGAGCCTGATGCCAGACTTGATCCCGGGACTCCAGGATCACGCCCTGAGTCAAAGGCAGACACTCAACTGCTGAGCCACCCAGGCATCCCTCTGTACTGCTTTTAGTGGCAGAGTTTTGAGAGGTGTTGAGGGTGGGGTGGTAGAAAGAACACTACACTACTATTTTAGAAGCTCTGGCTGTTCTAAAAGTCCAAGTGCTATGTATGCTCTGAAAAACGTGTGTCTCTCCTATTCCTATATTGAAATCCTAATGCCTAATGTGATAAAATTAAGTGGGGCCTTTCAGAGGTCCGAGATCATGAAGGTGGACTCTTCGGGAATAGGATTACTGCCTTCATTTAAAAAAAAAAAAAAAAAGAAAAAAGGTCTCATAGAGCTCCTTTGAGCCACAGGAAGTCAGCAACTGACAACCCAGAAGAGGACTCTCACCAGAACAGGCTGGATTCCCTGATGTCTCAGGCTTCCAGCCTCCAGAGCTGTAAGCAATAAATTTCCATTGTTTAAAAGCCACCTAGTCTGGAGTATTTTGTTACAACAGCCCAAATAAACCAAGACACCAAGCAACTCTGATCACCACCATTAAATCTGTTTCTCATTTAACAACAACAACAACAACAAAGACTGAACTGGGTGCAAAGTGGAACTTCAAGTACAGTCTATCATAGAAAATGTTAGTTCTACTACAAGTAACCCATCTTACACATTCTCATTCATTTCAGGACCTCTACTTTAAGGAGCATCACTTAGCCAATTTACTTGGATCTGCAGAGAATTATATTTAAACGAATTATACTTAATTACACTTAAATGTGTTCTACTTAATCATTCCTTTGGAAACCTGTATTAAATTTTCAAAAAGATTCAAGGTCAACACTGAATCCCAAGTTCTGACTTGGGACGGCTAAGAAACAGGCATAACAAGCAGCCCTCCAGTAAGGTGAATGACACTTTGGGCAAAAACATCTTCCTCCTCCTGCTCAAGGCCCACTGGATTTCCAAAAAAAGAGAGGAAGGGAGGGAGGGAAGGAGGGAGGAAGGAAGGAGACCGTTTCCTCCAGAAATGACAGATATTCATTCTAGACAGACACATTTTACAAGTCATTCATTCTCATGCTCTATCTCTAGAATCCTTTAAGAGCTCTCCTGGTATTTAGTTTCAAAACACACCCACCACAAATTTCAGCTATGGCTTAACAACAAAAGAAAACATGCTTGCCCTACTGAGTATTTCCTCACTATAAAAAAAAGTTGCAAATTTTATGGTCCCCCGCCCCACCGTGAATTTCAATCTAAGTACTATTTCCAACTTTCCCCCTGCTTCTTCCAAGCAGAGTTCCCTGTTCTAAGGGTGGTATTTTATGGACCTGAATGGGCTGGAACATGTGATCTAGCATAAAACTCTGGACATGAGATTAGAAAACCCATTCTTTTCTAAATAAACATCCTACAGGGGCGCCTGGGTAGCTCGGCAGTTGAGCGTCTGCCTTTGGCTCAGGACGTGATCCGGGGATCCAGGATCAAGTCCCACATGGGGCTCCCTGCATGGAGCCTGCTTCTCCCTCTGCTTGTGTCTCTGCCTCTCTGTCTCTCAAGAATAAATAAAAATCTTCGAAAAAAAAAAAACTAAAAAAAAAAGCCAAGATTCTTAAAATAAATAAACAAACAAACATCCTACAGAGGATTATTTTTTAAGATTCTGAGACATTTTGTAGAAGCATCTGATAAAGTTACACCAAAATAGGTTTCTGATAACAAAAAGAAAAAACCGATCGCAATGTAGGGAATTTCCTTACTAACAACCACTTCCCCACACACTTTTACATCGCCAACTCCTAGCCGTGTCACAGGGAAAAGTGTCAAGAATAAAGCTGAAATTGGCAAATACCAGGAAGAGAAAAGCAGTCCCCCTGGTGTAAGATGTACTGCCTAGCCGCTCAACAATAACCATCGTTCCTGACCATTTCTCTCAGGATGACTGCCCTTGGATGGCTGATGGCTCTGATGGCTACTTAGGCTGGAAACGGAGTTCTACGGGTGGCCCAAGTGGTGCGGGCCGCTCCAAAGGAAGCAGGGAGGGCCACAGAGAAAATGGCTCGATAAAAGGAATCTACGTGATAAAGTACAGGGAAACCAACACTTTAAGGAGCTGGCAAGGAACTAGTTTGGGCAGCCGAAATGGGTTGATCTAGGGGGGAAAAAAAAAAGAGCTGAATTTCTTTATTGGACAGGAAAACGTCAACTGCCTATGCAAGTGAAATACCAATCAACAGGGGATCCCTGGGTGGCTCAGCGGTTTGGCGCCTGCCTTTGGCCCAGGGCGTGACCCCTGGAGTCCCGGGATCAAGTCCCGCGTTGGGCTCCAGGCATGGAGCCTGCTTTTGCTTCCGCCTGTCTCTGCCCCTCTCTCTCTCTTTCTAGGTCTATCATGAATAAACAAAATCTTAAAAAAAAAAAAACAATCAACAAAGCAAACCAAACCCAAGCTACGTCCTCACATACACACTTCGCCAAAGTACTTCTCCAAACCTCCTTTGCCTCTGGGGAGAAGACTGTAACGACAACTTAAGAAACGAGCCTCCTAGCGCACTCTTAGGATGCCCACCTAGACTAAGCAACAGCGCAACTGAGAGCTTCGGGGAAAGATCAGCAATCCGGTCTCACTCACGAGCTGCGAGGGAACGCGCACGACCCAGGCCCCCAATCCTCTGCCTTAAACACCGGGAGCAAAGTCCCTTTTCAACCTCTTCCTCTTTAAACCCACGCTGACAGCTCCTAAAATAAGCGCCTTTATCTGCCAAGTTATAAAGTCCGCTCGTCCGACGTTCCTGTAAACGAGTCCTCGGGAGCGTGCTGAGAACCGAGGATTCTCGTAAAGCAGCGGGGGTTCGGCTGGGAACCTCGCAAAAGCTCGGCCGGGGAACGGCCCGCCCGCGGCGGCTGCAAAAGTCCTAAACAGACGCTGCGGGCGCGTGGGGCGGGCGGACGGGCGCACACGCCGCGGGCGCGGGCCGCGCCGAGGCCAACCTGGGCCGGGCCGACGGCTGGGGCGACGCGAAGGTGTCGCCGGGGAGCGGGGAGGGGGGCGGGGGGAGGGGGGCGGGGGCGAAGCGCGAGCCCCCCTTCAGGCAAGGCGGGCGTCGGCGGGCGTCGGCGGGCGGCCTGGGCATCCGCACGGCCGCGGCCGGGGCGCCCCGCTGCAATGCATCTCGGGATTCCTCCGGGACGCTCCGCGCCGCGGCCTGGGGTGGCGGGGACACACGCGAGCGCGCCCCCCCGCCCCCCCGCGGCGGCGGCGCCGGCGCCGGCCGGCCCCGCTCCCCGGCCTCGTGGCGCTGACCCGCCGCGGCCCCGCCCGCGCCCTGTGCGGGCTCCGCTCCGGGGGGGGGGGGGAGGGGGGCCCGGCCGGGGCTGTCAGCGCCCCACGTGCGGCCCGGCCCCGCGCGGCGCGCCCACCCGCACCCCCGGGGGCTCCCGGCCCTTTACCCGGAGCGCCTCCCGCGCCGCTGCCGGCTCCGTGGCTCGGGGCGGCGGGCGGCGGCGGCTGGGCCGGGCCCCGCAGGAAGGACGGCACGAACTCGGCGGCGTGGACGTTGGGCACGAAGGGCTTGGCGTTGACGTTGAGCTGCCGGCTGAAGGCCGCACTGAGGGGCTCCCGCTGGGCCTCGGCCGCCGCCGCAGCCGCCGCCGCCGCCGCCGCCGCCGAGGGGCCGCCGCCGCCGCACGGTCCCGGCCCGGGCGCCTCCATGTCCGCCTGGTCCCAGCAGTCGGGCGCCGAGTCGCTGCTGCTGCTGCCGCTGCTGCTCCCGCCGCCGCCGCCGCCGCCGCCGCCGCCGCCGCCGCCGCTGCCCGGATCCATGATCGGGGGGGCCGTGTGTGTGGCGAAGAGAGGGCGGGAAATGGAGGCGGGGGCGACGGGCCGGGCGGGAGCAGGCCGCGCTGACCCGGCCAAGCAGCGAGGCAGACGGGGGGCTCGCGACACAATCCCCGGCGTCGTCGCGGCGAGGGCTCCGGTCCCAACTCCGCACGGGCGACGACGAACGGCGGCGGCGGCGGCGGCTCAGCCCTCCTCGTGTGTGCGAGCGGATCTCCTCCCACCCCAACCCCAACCCCAACCCCAACCCCAACCACCTCGCACCGCCTCAGCGCCAACCCCACGCCGGCGCGGATTGACCCCTCCCCGCCACCCGTACCTTCGCCTCGGTAGTTCCCGGTCCTGCCCGTCCGCGTTGCCGGCTACGAAGCGCGGCGGCGGGCCGAACTACGAGTCCCGGCAGCACCCGCGCGATACCCCCACCCTCACCCCCGCTGCGGTTTTCCCGGGGGCCGACGGGAGTCGGAGTTCGGAAGCCCGGAGCAACCGGAAGCGGCTCGGGCTCCCGGCAGGCAGCGGGAGGAGGCGGAGGTCTCGGCGTCGCTCGGCGGCCCCACCTGTCACCCGGTGGGGGCGGGGCGGCGGCGCGTCCTCGCGCGACTCTGCGGCCGCCGGGGTGGTCCTCGCCGCGGTCCTGCGCTCCCGCGGCGCCAGCGGGTGCGTCCTCTGCCCCCGGCCTGCCCCGGCCTCCCCGGGCCTCCCCGCCCCGCAGCCGGATTTCGCCCTACTTTTCAAAGCCGGCGCCGCGCGTCTCGCATCTTCTGCCTTCACTGGGTGCGAGACGGCAGTGACTTGGGACGCGGCGTGGCTCGTAAAGCGCTCGGGGCCCAGGCTCTGCCCCGGGGCGGGGGGGGGGGAGGTTATTGAGCTGGAAACTTTGGATGACTCACCGTCTGTTTGACTAGTCACTGAAAGCCTCCCCCCACCCCGCCCCGAACTTTTCCATCCCTCCTCCCCTCCTCCCGGCCCGGGGGCCTCGCAAGCTAAACCGAGGACCGGGGCCTCTTCCACCGTGTATCCAGACGTATCCAACTAATAAGGTCATTCCGGTGCGCCCAGCTTCCGTACGACGCACCATTAGGCCAAGTGGGTTTTTCTTCCGAGTGGTGGTGGAGTTGGCTCGAGCGGACCGAGGTTAGGTAAACATGGGGGGCGGGGGGATGAGGGAGGGGGGAGGGAGGGGCGAGCAAAGCAAAAGATGAATTCCCAGACCCGATTAGATGCAGTGGGAAAGCAACCTTGTTCCGAGTACCTGTGAGGTTTTTTTCCTGTAATTGTGGCCTGTGGAGCCCCAGGCTGGGGGGGTGGAGGGCCGGGGGGCCGGGGGCGGGGAACCTACTGCTGATCTTTTTCTCCAAGGAGTCCAGACAGAGTGCAACTAACTTGCTAAAAATTACAGAGGGAAGGCGTAGACGCTCAGAGAATGCATGTTTCTTAGCAACCTTACGTTACGGTCCAGAATCTAGATCTAGATGTGAATTTGAATTTTAAATAGCTGTATCTCTTTCTCTTTCTTTTTTTTTTCTTTTTTTTTTTAAGGTTTTATTTATTTATTCATGAGAGACACAGAGGGAGAAGCAGGCTCCACGCAGGGAGCCCGACGCGGGATTCGATCCCAGGACCCCAGGATCACGCCCTGGGCCCAAGGCAGGCACTAACTGTTGAGCCACCCCGGGGGATCCCTAAACATCTGTATCTTAACGATAAAAGAGGACTCAGCCCATTAGTGAGACAGCTCAAAAACAGCTGTCTGGTACCTTTCAAAACAAATCCTTATGCTAAAGTGGTTTAAAATTGTGTTTAAGGGATCCCTGGGTGGCGCAGCGGTTTGGCGCCTGCCTTTGGCCCAGGGCGCGATCTGGAGACTCCGGATCGAATCCCACGTCAGGCTCCCGGTGCTCCCTGCTTTTCCCTCTGCCTATGTCTCTGCCTCTCTCTCTCTCTCTCTCTCTCTCTCTCTCTCTCTCTGTGTGACTATCATAAAATTAAAAAAAAATAAAATAAATAAAATAAAATTGTGTTTAATATTTAGCAATTTTTATGGATTTTTTTTTCCTTGAACTTCACACTTGAGGGTATCAAGTGCTGTAAATGTGAAGAAACGAGAGACCCTTCTTAAAACAAACCTGGCTTTAACTTTTTCTTCAACTCTGTGGTCAAGGCTCCCTGAAATCTTCTGGGTATATATATATATATTTTTTTTTTTTTTAAATCTTCTGGGTATTGATTTTTCTTTTTTTTTTCTTCCACAACAGATGATGTATCCCTCTGATTCATACAAAGTTCAGGTTACAGCCTATTAATATAGTTCTCTGAAGACCCATTTTAAATCTTTCTTAAGACCGTCCCACTTTAAAGTTGGTATTAAGTGATTGCCCTCGGACTTACCCAAACCTTAGTAACAATTGATGTAAAATAAATAAATAAATAAATAAATAAATAAATAAATAAATAAATAAATAAATAAAAATCAGATCTTCCGTTATATAAGGGAGACCTGCATTGCTATTGAGATATTTTTATATTATATTTGCAACACGGAAGAAAATACAGTGTGTCCAAAATAAAGTGCCTCCTCACTCAAGACTGGCACGCCCTACCCTATTCCTAAGAAAAAAAAAATCATGTCAACACACACACAAATGTCAAAAACAACTGACTCAAAGAGTGACCCTACTGTCCTTCAGCTGCTTTGTCACTGGATGCCATACTTCAACATGCATCACCCATAGGGCACCGGATGACAGATCCCTCTTAGGTTAGTTCTTCAGATCTAATTAAATTAGCAGTGTCTTTGTGCCCACAAGCTTTTTCAAGAGACAAAGACAAAAACTGCTGAGCCCCACAGCTTAGAAAAGCAGTTGATGTCGTTAACTTCCACGTCCCTGAATAGGATAATTATGGAAATTCAGAAAAGAATCCACTCCATTGGTTTTCAAAAGCTGTGACCTGCCAGGGTTGAGGCACTGCTCCAGCAGGAAAGTGAGAGGCTCTTCTTGATAATTGCTGTTGTGCTAAGATTGAATGACTTGAGGTCAGCATCTTTTCATCTTCTTTATGTCCCCAATGCCCAGAGTGATGCCTGGCATAGAAAACATGCTTAACAAATGTTTCATGAGTGAATTAGTGCATCAATCGGGAGTTTTGGACCATAGTGCCCTTTTATACTCATTTAGGACTATTGGGACACAGGACTGTCAACATAAAGAGCGAGTTTTCCCAAGGACGTCTTGCTCTGTGCTCCATGAACACACAGGATTAGCTGGACAGCCACTTTACTGCAAGCCTGCATTTGGCTCCCTGCCTCAATAAATAAATAACAGTGTGTCTTTTATGCTTCTAAACATGAAGCTGATGTGAAAACTCAGGGCCATCCCAGAGGTTTTAGGGGATGAAAACGTGTACCTACAGATGGACTCAGGTAGCAGGGCCACTCCTGGAAATAGGAATACAAACACGAGTGTAAAAAGCTGTCCTTTCAGCATTTTTGCAACAGAAACCAGAAACAACCTAAACGTCCATCAACAGGGATATTATGACTCAATATGTGATGGATAGCAACAGTATGCAATAATATGCAGCTTTCAAAAAGTCACACAGACTTGGTGCTGAAGGGAAAACCCATCTATAACATATGGCGAAGTGGGGCAGCTGGGTGGCTCAGTGGTTGAGCATCTACCTTTGGCTCAGGTCGTGATCCTGGGTCCTGAGATCAAGTCCCGCACTGGGCTCCCCGCAGGGAGCCTGCTTTTCCCTCTGCCTATGTCCCTGCCTCTGTGTGTGTGTCTCTCATGAATAAATAAATAAAATCTTAAAAAATAATAATATGTGGTGAAGTAAGGAAGAGCAATATGTCTTATATGTGTAGAATATAGAGTGGATCAGTATATCTAGTACGATCCTATTTCTTTAAAAGCATCTAGTTTTTTTTCTACTCTCTGGATGCTCTTTCCCTAGATCTTCACCTCTCCAGCTCATTGTCATTCAGCTCCGATGTGTCCTCTCCTAGCCATCCTGACCCTCCACCAACCCACATCACTCTCTACCCTGTCACCCAGTTTTATTTTTTATTTTTTTCAGATGCCTTATCACAATCTGAAGTTCTTACTGGTCTCCGTGCCTACTGCCCATCTTCTCCTACTGGAAAATTAATTCCCTGACTCTGTCTGACTTGCTATTGTGTTCTCATCGCCTACAACTGTTGCCTGGCATGGATAAAGTGCTCAGTAAACATTTGGGAGAGAATGAGACATATGTATCATTTTATATGTTATAAAACTTTAAAGTGTGGACAGTTACATATTAAACAGTTAATGGAAAGTGTGTGGGATGGGATTGGATGTGAATGGAAAGTAGCTAAAAGAAGAAATTGCAATTTTTTACTTTTATGTTTGGATTTTCCTACAAGAAGCAAATTGTTTTAAAAAATTCTTTTATCCGTCGCCTGACTCAGTTGGAAGAACATATGACTCTTGATCTCAGGGTCATGAGTTCAAGCCCCACATTGGGTATAGGGATTACTTAAAACTTTTTTAAACTTTTTTTTTTTAAGATTTATTTATTTATGATAGACCTAGAGAGAGAGAGAGAGAGAGGCGAGGCACAGGAGGAGGGAGAAAGGCTCCCTGCCAGGAGCCTGATGCAGGACTCAATACCCGGACTCCAGGATCACGCCCTGGGCCAAAGGCAGGCGCCAAAGCGCCGAGCCATCCAGGGATCCCCTACTTAAAACTTTTTAAAAAATTCTTTTATTGAGGGCATCCCAGGTGGCTCAGCGGTTTAGCGCCACCTTCAGCCCAAGGCCTGATCCTGGAGTCCCGGGATCCAGTCCCAAATCGGGGGACTCCCTCTGCCTGTGTTCTGCCTCTCTCTCTCCCTCTGTGTCTCTCATGAATAAATTAAAATCTTTTTAAAAAATTATTTTATTGAGATGAAACTCACATGATATAAAATGTACCATTTTAAAGGGAACAATTCAGGGGCGCCTGGGTGGTGCAGTTGGTTGAGCATCCTGCTCTTGGTTTTGGTTCATTTCAGGATCTCAGGTGAGATCCCAATCCATGCTCAGCATGCTGTCTGCTTGAAATTCTCTCTCCTTCTGACCCTCCTACCTGTCCTCTCTCTCTCTAAAATAAAATTTTAAAAAATTATTAAGAGGAACCCCTGGGTGGCTCAGTGGTTCAGCATCTGCCTTTGGCTCAGGGCATGATCCTAGGGTCCTGGGATCCTGTCCCACATCAGGCTCCTTACAAGAAGCCTCCTTCTCCCTCTGCCTATGTCTCTGCCTCTCTTTCTGTGTGTCAAATAAATAAATAAACTCCCTTAAAATTCTGGGATATTCATAAAATAGAACATTGGCAATTTGGGCAGTGGTTCCATTTTTTTTTAAAGATTTTATTTATTCATGAGAGACACACACACACAGAGAGAGAGAGAGAGAGAGGCAGAGACACAGGCAGAGGGAGAAGCAGGCTCCATGCAGGGAGCCCAATGTGGGATTCGATCCCGGGACTCCAGAATCACGTCTTGGGCCGAAGGCGGGCGCTAAACAACTGAGCCACCCAGGGATCCCCAGTGGTTCCATTTCTGATGGTGCGTCCTGCCCCTCCCCCCGTTATTAGCCTCAGAAAACTTATCAGGTCTGGTGTGCCTGGGTGGCTTAGTGGTTGAGCATCTGCCTTTGGCTCAGGTTGTGATCCTGGGGTCCTGAGTCCCACATCAGGCTCCCTGGGGGGAGCCTGCTTCTCCCTCTGCCTATATCTCTGCCTCTCAAGAATAAATAATAAAATATTTTTTAAAATATGATCCACCTAATTTTTTAAAAAACATGTTTACACATACAACATACAACGCAATGAAAGACCACTGTACTGTTGCACGATTTACATATATAAAGCCTGCGTTTCACTTCCTGTGTTTGTCTTTTAACTGCTATATAGTAACTCCATCTATGTTTATACTTCTTTTTTATTTGTCCATTTTCCCACTCATAGGCTTTTAGGTTATTTCCAAAATTTTTTTTGTACCAACAGTACTTGTATAAGTGTCAAGATCCTTTCAGAAAACAAGTTACACAAATTTCAATTCAAACTAGATTTAGCCACAAGAAATGTATTATTTTACATGATTACATTAAAAATTCAACTGGTTGAATTTTAAAGATCTTATTGGCTTTATTCAATGATTCATGAATTAAACAGCATTTCCTCTAGCAGGCAGAAAGGAGCTCTGAAGAGCTGAACAAAATGAAAGACTTCTACAGGCAGCAGGGAGCCGGACAAGGAAATTATGCTAGCAAAAAGGAAGATTGGTTGTGGCAAGGTCACTTTCCTTTGGCGGACAGCAGGGGTCTGTTAGGTAGATGACCTCATTAGTGCTGACCAGGTGATTTCTGATTGATTTAAGATGCCAATTCTGAAAAAAAAAAAAAAAAAAAAGATGCCAATTCTGGGAGAGGCCAGAACCAAAATTAAGTTAAGTCTTAGTGTGTTGGGACACCTGGATGGCTCAACCAACATGCTGGTTGAGCATCTGCCTTTGGCTCGGGGTGTGATCCCGAGCCCTGGAATCCCCGGGATCGAGTCCTGCATCAGGCTCCGCGCAGGGAGCCTGCTTCTTCCTCTACCTATCTCTCTGCCTCTCTCTCTTTGTCTCTTATGAATAAATAAAATCCTTTAAATAAAGGAAGAAAGATGGGCAGCCCAGGTGGCTCAGCCTTCAGTCCAGGCCATAATCCCGGAGTTCCAGGAACAAGTCCCACATCAGGCTTCCTGCATGGAGCCTGCTACTCCCTCTACCTGTGTCTCTGCCCCCCCCCCTCGCTCTCGCTCTCGCTCTCTCTCTGTCTCTCATGAATAAGTAAAATCTTAAAAAAAAAAAAAAAAGAAACATCTTCTAAAAAAAAGTCCCCGTGTGATGACGTACGCTTAGCTACGTGACCCTATTCTAGGCCTGTTGTCTTATTTCTAACAATAAACCCTAAGACTGATTTCTTAGTCCATTGGGTCTGGAGCTTAATGACATCATCGAGGGCCTGTACCTTTCCATCTATCTGCTGCCCTGGATGTTGGCTTCATCCTCAGGCTGGTCCCAAGAGAGCTGCAGATCCTCAGATGCCAAGTCCAGAGAAACAATAAAGAACATCTCATCCTGCTGCTTTCTTCTAAGAATGAGGAAGTTTTTCCCAGAAGCCCTCCAGGAAGTATCTCCCCCTGTGTCATTGGCATGAATTGGATCAGATACCTATCCTTGGAAAGGACATCTCTTTTTATTGCGGTAAAATATACACAAAATAAGATTCACACACACACACACAAAATGAATAAGATTCACCACATTAACCAATTGTAAATATACAATACAATACAGTGGCATTAAGTACATTTCACACTGTTATGCAACCATCACCACCATCCATTTCCAGAACTTTTTCATTTTTCTTTTTTTTAAAGATTTTTAAAAATTTATTCATGAGAGACACAGAGAGAGGCAGAGACACAGGCAGAGGGAGAAGCAGGCTCCCTGCAGGGAGCCCGACGTGGGACTCGATCCCAGGACCCAGGGTCACACCTTGAGCCAAAGGCAGACGCTCAACCACTGAGCCACCCAGGCGCCCTCCAACAGTGATTCTATACAAATATTGTATCACTTAGCATAATATCCTCAAGGTTCATCCATGTGGCAGCACGGATGAGCTTTTTAGAGTTGAATAATTTTCCATTCAACTCTGTGTGTGTTTGTGTATTTTGTTTATCCATTCATCTGTCAGAGGACACTTGGGTTACTTCTACCTTTTGGCTATTGCAAATAATGCTGTTATAAATATGAGTGCACAAGTACCTGCTCACATCTCTGCTTTCGTTTCTTTTTTTTTTTTTTCTGCTTTCATTATTTTTAGGTATGTACCAGAAGTAGAATTGCTGAATCATATGGCAATTCCATGTTTCATTTTCTGAAGAACCTCCATACTGTTTTCCACAAGGCTAAACCATTTTTTTTAAAGCAGACATTATCACTTTTTTTAAAGAATTTATTTATTTATATGAGAGAGAGAGCATCAGTGGGGGAAGGAGCAGAGGGAGAGGGAGAAAGAAACAGGCTCCCTGCTGAGTGCAGAGCACCACATGGGGCCCAATCCCAGGACCCCAGACCATGACCTGAGCCAACCGAGGTACCCCCAGGCTAAATCATTTTACATTCTTACCAGCAATGCACAAGTGTTCCGATTTCTCCACATTTGCACCAGAACGTATTACTTTCTGTTTTGTTTTAATAATAGCCATCCTAGGGGTGTCTGGGTGGCTCAGTTAAGCATCCAACTCTTGATTTCAGCTACGGTCATGATCTCAGGGTCATGAGATCAAGCCCTATGGGTTTAAGATTCTCTCTCTTCCCCTCCCCCTGCCTCTCTTAAAAAAATAATAAATAAATAAATAAATACATACATACATACATAAATACATAAATAAGTCATCCTAATGAGTATGAAATTATATCTCACTGTAGAAAAGGGATCCTTTAAACCAATGATTTTGACTGCTGGTTACACATTAAAATCACCTGGGGGGGACTTTAAACTTAACACATCTCCAGACTCCGATTTAATTGGTCTTGAGTAGGACCTGGGCATTGACAAATTTTAAGTATGAGACCTCTATGTGAGGCCAAGCTTAAGAATCACTGGTCTAAAGACAAATCGCCGGGGATCCCTGGGTGGTGCAGCGGTTTAGTGCCTGCCTTTGGCCCAGGGCCCGATCCTGGAGACCCGGGATCAAATCCCACGTCGGGCTCCTGGTGCATGGAGCCTGCTTCTCCCTCTGCCTGTGTCTCTGCCTCTCTCTCTCTCTCTATCATAAACAAATTAAAAAAAAAAAAAAGACAAATCACTGGGACGCCTGGGTGGCTCAGCAGGTTGAACATCTGCCTTTGGTTCAAATCAGGATCCGGGGTTCTGTGATCCAGCCCTGTATCAGGTCCTTGCTCGGTGGGGAGCCTGTTTCTCCCTCTCCCTCTGCCTGTCACTCCTGCGCTTGTGTTCGGTCTGTCAAATGAATAAAGACACATCATCTAGCAGAAAAAAAATGTATGTTGGGGGAACCGATTACAGCGTTCAATACTACTCAGAATTGAAACTACAGAGTCCTCAAGGGGGGTTCTGTACTTGGTATGTATAGCTAGCTCTAAATTATTCATAGAATTTATTTATTTATTTTAAAGATTTTATTCATTTATTCATGAAAAACAGAGACAGCAGGCTCTCCACGGGGAGCCCAGTGCAGAACTTGATCCCAGGACCCCGGGACCACGACCTGAACTTAAAGGTAGATGCTCAACCACTGAGCCACCCAGGTGCCCTATTCCTAGACATTAGAAGCAGGGCAGCATGGTAGCCCAGGTGACCATAATGGACAGAAAATATGACTTGCTGCTTAATTTCTTCACCCAGCAAGTATTTTGGTAGAATTGGCAACAAACACTAAGGTAAATTGACTGGTTCTGCACTTGGGCTAGACTCTGTCCTTTCAAGTGGGTGGGTTTTGTTTTTAACAGCTTGTTGAGATTCCATTCACATGCCATACAGTTCACCCATTTGGAGTGTACCGCTCAATGGTTTTGTAGCACAGTCACTGTTGTGCAACTGCCCCCAAATATCACGGTGTTTGTTTGTTTTTGAAGTCTGAATGGAAATGCAGTTTGGACCGAAATGACCCAAGAGACTGGCATCAAGCAGCAAAGAAGCAGAAACAGAGGGTCTAAGTACAAAGAAGACCACAGCGGGCGAGGTAAGAAAGGTAATGAAACATTGAATTGATAGCAGATGACAGTGATGCTAAATTTGGTGGTGCCAGCACGTGCGCAATGACCTTGAGTCAATCAACCAGTTCTGGTGTGGAAATTGGCTTCCTCAACCAGCTCCTGTGGGTTAATCCCTGTTCAATGAAACTGCTGGGAAAACCAGTTGTTCTGGTTTCTCCAGGACTCGGAGACAATTCTGTGAGTCAATCTTCTATGTCACTTTGTAGGCTTCATTTTCCAAGACCATCCACCCAGAGGAAAGGATTGTATTCAGTGATTTTAGCCAATGTAATCCCGGTGCCCTTCTCCCCAATCCGGCGACTAAAATCCAGGAGGTTTGATGATTGCTGACCCCTGCTGGCTTTCACTGTAATGGTTTGTCCCCCTGAGGCAGAAGGAAGCTTCTAGGACACCCCTGAGAGCAGCCTGCTTCCTCAGCCAGCCTGGCCCAGCTCTGCTCCCCGTGTTAGCAGAGCTTGGCTCGGAAAGGGTATCTAAGTGGCAGCTGTCCCCAGGTTCCACTGGCCTATTGATTTACATTTGAAATAGCTGTCTCATTGCTAATGATTATCTCATTACATCCCTTTTGTGAGTGTAAAAGACCCATAATGGAGAGCACAGAGAAAGTCTGATAATGATCAGTTAACTCAGATGAAAAGTTGATTCATTCTGCAGAAATCAGGGCTCATTATTCCCGAGGTATTAACATATTGCTTATTATGTTTTACATCAGGGAGCCTGGCCTGGCTAACTTCATTCCAGGACCCCCCCCTACCCCCGCAGCTCCCCCACCCCCCCTCGGCCTGTTTTCCCAGACCCCGTTGTCGGGGAGGAGGTGATTTATAAGTGGGATCAGGAAAACAACTAAATTCAGTCGCTTTAAGCTGCACAACTTAACCTATTAAATAATGTATATATTTGTGAATACATAATAATAGCGATTGTTATTTAATATTTTCATTGTACAAGTTAGTGGCGCTAAATACATCCCTGTTGTTCTGCAACCATCACCACCATCCATGTCCAGAACTTTTTCCCTGTTGCCAACAGAAACTTTGTGAGTAGCTCCTCATTCTCTCTTTCCCCAGTCCCTCTGGTAAGCCCTATTTTATTTTCTGTCTCTATTAATTTGCCCACTCTAGGTATCTCATGTAAGTGGAATCATACATTCCTTTTGTGCCTGGCTTATTTCACTTAACATGTTTTCAAGATTCATCCATGTTGTAGCCTGTGTCAAAATCTCCTTCTTTTGTAAGGCTGAATCACATTCCAGTGTGTGAATATACCACATTTTGTGTATGCATGTATCTGTGGATGGACACTTGGTGCTTTCCACCTTCTGGCTACTGGGAACAATGCTGCTAGGAACATTGGTGTACAATGTATTTATTTATCTGGGTCTTTGCTTTCAAATATTTTGGGTGTATACCCAGAAGTGGGAATTACTGGATCATATGGCCATTATCCTTATTTTTTTAATTATTCATGACATTTTATAAAAAAAAATCTTATTTATTTGAGAGAGAGAGTCACATGGGCCTGAGCGGGGGGGGGGGGGGGGAGAAGCGGCAAAGGTTGAGGGAGAAGCAGACTCTCAGCTGAACAGGGAGCCCAGCATGGGGCTTGATCCCAGGACCTCGAGATCATGACCCAAGCCAAAGACAGATGCTCGACAGACTAAGCCACCCACGTGTCCCTTGCTATTATATTTAATAATAACCTCCAGGTCTGCATCCCTTCTGTCAATTGCCAAGGGAAGAAACAGAGTTCAGAGGCATTGAATTACCTGAACCCAGATCTTTCGGACTGCAAAGCTTTGGCTCCTTCTCTACATCCTCACACATAATCCTAATATCACTGGTGTGTCTTGATTAGGGACTCAATCAGAAAATTGCACAAGTCAGTTTCTGTAAAGAATGCATTTTAATGCTTTGCTCTAACAAATAAGCTGTTTTCTGATCATTTGGATTGAAAATGAACCTCTGGTTTTAAAATGTCACCGATTCCATCAGAATGGCTGAACATTCTAAAAATGTCACTGATTCAAACGCCTATTAACTTCCAGAGAAGATTAGAAGTATTTATTTATTTATTTATTTATTTATTTATTTATTATTTTAAGATTAGAAGTATTTAATAACACATCTAGGAAAAATAATGCTAAAAAGCATAAAATGAGAGAAAGGCCAGAAACCAAGATATACAAAGGGAAGAAGAGGGAAAGGACATCAAGATTTGTTGAGTGAGGAAGGGTACATGGACTAAAGAAAGATGGGCGGATTGTGTACCTCTCTTTGGTAGTAGAGTATATACTGGTTCATCCATTCGTTCATTCATTCATTTGTTCATTCATTCATTTTATTTTCATTCACTGTGAGTCTACTGAGGACCAACGAACTTTTTACTGATCCTGAAGTCACTTCCTGGAAGTTGATGTTAGCACAACCAATACAACACAATCTATGATGTTGGGGTCCCACCTTCCCACCCTGACTTCTGACCTCCCCAAATGTGACTGGCCTCTGTTATCGATAAGAGCTTTGCTGGGGTCCTGATGAGCACTGGAGCACATTCAGAAACACAGAATACATTTACCAGCATATGATGCCACATAAGCTGAATACACAGTTTTCAGGACATGAGTGACAACAAAGATTGCCCCTGTCCTCAATTCATTTCACTGCTTATTCTTGCCTCACTGATTCATCGACAGCCTCCAGGTTCTCCTGTACCTTCTCTCTCTCTCTCAAGATTTATTTATTAATGAGAGAAACAGAGACAGAGACCTAGGCCGAGAGAGAAGCAGGCTCCTCGCAGGGAGCCCGTTGTGGGACTTGATTCCCAGACCCGGGATCACGCTCTGAGCCAAAGGCAGAAAGATGCTCAACCACTGAGCCACCCAGGTGTCCCTCCTGCACCTTCACTAGTGGGATTTCCTCCTCTGGATATCCTCCAGAGAAGTACCAAAAGATGTCAGGGAAGCTTGCACCAAAAGGTGCTGGTTGCCTTTCTGAGCTTCATTCCAGCTTGCCTGTTCTTTTCTTTATTCTTTAATCCAAAAGAGAGGGGGAAAGAAACGGAATGAGGGCAGGTTTTTAGTTGTATATGTAACATTTTATTTGGTAAGTTGGCTAGTTATTTTTTACAAGAGGCCTGATGCAAATGTTACAGGCTGTTTTCATTTGTGAACTCTAAGTGATAGGTAGGCAGAGGTCTGCTAAGCTATTTCTCTGCAGCTTGTGTTTGAGATACTTTATAATTTCTAAAAGTCCAATTTGTATAACAATAGAAATCTATGCAAGACTTTTTTTTTAAGGTTTTATTTATTTATTCATGAGAGACACAGAGAGAGGGGCAGAGACACAGGCAGAGGGAGAAGCAGGCTCCCTGAGGGGAGCCCGATGGGGGATTCGATCCCAGGACCCTGGAATCACACCCTGAGCCCAAGGCAGATGCTCAACCACTGAGCCCCCTAGGTGTCCCTGCACAAGACATTTTTATAGCTCTTCTGGTTGTTTTATTTTTCAGCTTTATTGAAGTATAACTGATGAAACTGTAATATGTTTGGGGCCTAGGGAGATAGGCAGTATGGATGAAGGGAGTGGGGGGGAACAGGCTTCTAGTTATGAAATGTACAAGTCACAGGGATGGAAGGTACTGCATAGGGAGTGTCGTCGAGGGTATGGCAATAGTACTGTATGGTGACACATGGTGCCTCCACTTGTGATGAGCACAGCATAACATATAGACTTGTCAAATCACTGTTGTACACCTGAAACCATTGTAACATTGTGTACCAACTATACTTCATTTTCTTTTTATTTATTTTTTATTTATTTTATTTCTTAAAAACATCTAATTATTTGAGAGAGAGTGGGGAGGGGTGGGAGGAACAGAGGGGGAGGGGGAAAGAAGGGGAGAGAATCTCAGGGAAGGAACTCCATGCTGAGCAGTAAACCCCATGTGGGGCTCGATCTCACTATCTGAGATTATGATCTGAGCTGAAACCAAGAGTCCAACACTTAACTGAACCACCCAGGTGCCCCTATACTTCATTTAAAAATATATATATATAATAAAATATATATATACATTAAATATATATATATATATACAGTATACGATGTGATGATTTGATACCCTTATATATTGTGAAATGTTACCATAATCAGGTTAACACCTCGCATAGTTACTTGGTTTCTTTGTTTTGGTGAAAATGCTCTACGCAAAGTTTAAAGGCAGGGAAGACTTAACTTTTTTTAAGATTTATTTATTTACTTACTTATTTGGGGGGGCAGAGGGAGAGAAAAAGAGAATCTCAAGCAGACAACCCTGAGCTCTTGACCTGAGCTGAAGTCAAGAGTTGGATGCTTAACCGACTGAACCACCCAGGTGCCCTTATACTTAATTTCTTTAGAAGAATATTCAGGAAGTCTTCTCTTAGGAGATGACCCCTTAGCTGGGTTCTGAAAGATGGATAGGAGTTCCCCAGAGGAAACGATGCTCGATGTTAATACAGAATATGCTTACTCAATTACTCTGAGGAAATGTATGGCCATAATTCTTATAGCAGAATAAGATTTTACTTACTTAAAATGGTTATTGAAGGGTAGCAGTTTATGCCATCCCCAAATATGCCACTTTGGCCTAAGGATTAGCTTGAGCTGGGAACAATTGAGAAGAAACAGATTTAAGAAAAATTCTCTGCCCTTTTCCTATTTGCCTACAAGTAGGACAAAAATTTGTAAAAGTGGCTCCCCTCCCCTGACACCAGGAAGAATAGAAGTTAATCACTGGAGACAACCCTAGATCTTTATCATCATGAGACATGCGCATAACAAACCCTGCTAAAGGCTAACCCTCACCACCATCAGTTTCCCCACATATTTACCCTCCCATAATTTGCTGCCTCGGGATGCCTGGGTGGCTCAGCCTCAGCCGTTGAGTGCTTGCCTTTGGTCCAGGGCATGATCCTGGGGTCCTGGGATCGAGTCCC